CCCCGCCTCTTGCCCCTCCGCCTCTTGCCCCTGCGCCTGCTGCTCCTGCAACTGCCGCATGTGGGGCTGCTGGTGTGGCCGGTACTGGAGGCGTCTCCTCAGCGCATCACGCTGGAACACAGGAAGCGCCTCCCGCAACTCCCTCTCTCTGCCGCTGCCGCCGCCGCCGCCGCCGCCGCCGTTGCCGTTGCTGCTGCTGCTTGCTCCGTTCAGGCCGTTGATCGCGTTGAACGTGTCCACGTGGGCGTCCATCAGCCGTTCGTATTCGCCCTGCTCGGCGCGCTGCAGAATGGCCGTCAGCTTCGCGACGATGTCGACGCTGCTGGGAAGGTTCGTCTGGTCGGGCGAGTCAACGGCAGTGTCGTTGTAGACGTAGTGGTTGTTGACTCCGTTGACCACGGACCGAAGATCTTCCACGTCACTCTCCCTGCTGAAAGTCAAAGCGAGTCATTACGCAAAGAGAGTAACTACGCAAAGACAGAAAAGCTTGCTAATGGAACTGGTAGATGGTTTATAGAAGGTCACAGCCTCTCGTTAACGCGACGCGTTACCTGATTTTGAGGTTTCGCAAGCAGTCGCGAACTGCAGAGAGCCTCGCAACGTCCCAGCTCGCGGGATTCGTGCCGATTTGCTGACTCCACAGCACGCACGGGTCCGCGTGACCGCTCTGCATCACGCTCACTGCCTCTGAACCGCTCGTTCCCGATCCAACGGTAACTTCAGCAGCTTTCCCAAGAGAATCTTCGCTATCAGCACCGAGAGAGGCTGCGATGGAATCGTCCACGAGAAGTCGACCGGCGAAGGCAGGTTGGAAATCACTCATGGAGAGAACGACAGCTAGCAGCAGGCCCACCCGCACGAGGCATCCCTGTAAACCCATGGCTTGGGCCGCAACAAGGGACGACTCTACCGGGTAGGAGGAGCGTCAGAAGTTCTGACGCTTGCGGCTGAATCGGCTCGCTCGCCTTTGCACCCCCACAACAAAAACTGCTGCTGCTATGTCGCACTTGCTGTTTCGTTCATATATTCCGAGCTCAGCTTGCGAGCTCGAGTCGCCAGGAAAGTATTGCTGGCCAAGCCTGTCGAACCGTTTTTCACTCATGCGCACCGACGCTAAATACGAGCCGCACTCTTCAAGCCAGTCGATTCGAACTGTGCGTTTGGATAAGGGAGGCATTTCTGATGTAAGAAACATCAGATGCACCGATCGTGCGAAACCGTCGCGCATGAACCCGACCTGACGTTGATTTCCGATCCGATTGTACCAGGCACGACCGATCGTGCCTTCGCGATGCGGAGATGAGCGGCATGAGACGGTCCTTTTGCCCCAGGCAAAAGACTGTGGGCGGAGTCGGCTGTCTGTGAACTAACTTCACAGTAGATGCGATAAGAGCACACGTGCACAACGGAGTGCAGGAAGAAAGCGATCCGTGCATCCTACAGCGAGGCCTGCCCGACAGATCAGCCAATGGACGCGAGCTGACGGCAAGCGAAATCTGGGTAGGGTAGGCGAAGTGAACGAGAGGAGCTGTTTCTGTCCGTGAGTCGTGACCCACCTCGCTGTGGCGACGGATGGGAGGGCACGGCACGGCAGGAGCAGGGCGATGTGCTTTTGGGGCACCCTCCCACCCGCCCTACCAAAGGCGCACGTGTGCGGCGGCGTGTGGACACTATCGAGGCTCTGGCCCACAGATCAATCTCTGGCAAAACGGACATGACAACTTCGTGGGTACAGTACGAAGTCCGGTATGGTGCAGAGCAAAAGTACATTATATATGATATTTCACTTGGTGCTTTAAAGCTGCAGTATACATTTGAAAGGTTGGGTTCAAAAACTTTTGAAATTTGAAAAGTTGCCCCAAAGCTGTGAGGCACACAATAAAAACCATAAAACCAGCTGACAAATGTATACTGCAGCTTTAACAACAAAAGTATGACAAAACATGGGTTGTCCAGCTTGTAGAGCGGATAACTGCATAACGAAGTATTCAAGGCGTCAAGGGTAAATCGCAGGGAACACCATACCGTGCCAAATAGGCAGCTCGTTATTGCGTAGTGCTAAACGCGCTAATAAGGAGCTCTTTATTGCGTAATGCTAAACTAGCTAACATCCACAGAAAGTGCTCGTTATTCGCTAGGTAATGCTAGGATGGTTCCGGTGGCTAACTCCACTTTATTTGCCAAACCGATTCGCGTGACTGACGGTGCAGTTGCGGAAGAGTTACACTGCAGCCTGCGACTGAGTGATCACCGGTGGCAGCGGCAATTCCGGGAATTGGCAGAAATTCGAACTCGCACGGAACGCCCGAGTCCACGTACCCGTTAGTAAACGCCATGGAAACATCTATGTTCGTCTTAAACGGTTTCGACGCGTGCGGGTCGTTGGCGTGGCTCGTGCGGCTTAACGGAACCGAGACGTCGCAGTTTAACGATTGCATCGTGTAGCCCAGGCACGACGCGCTCACGGACACGGGCTGGTTGAGGAAACCACCCACGGTTACCATGGGTACTTTGTAGCGTTTACCCAGCATGTGCGTGAGGATGGCGCACGTGGAAAAGCAGTCGCCGTCTGCGAGAAACAGAAACGGCCGCGCGCCGAAAAACGGCTCCGCCGACCCGGGAAGCTCCGCCAATGCGCCGTAGAGTTTATCGAAATTCGACTTGAAATTCGCTGTATAGGTGCCGGCGCGGCCAGCGGTTGAGAAGGAGACGTTATGCAGAGGCTTGTAGTCTTGAGAAGACAAGAGGAGCGACGCGCCGTCGCTGGGATGACTATAGCGATTCGCGGCGTACTTAGGAATGGCCTGATCCGCCACAAGGCTCCAGGTGAAGTTTGTGCCTATAATGAAGTCCATGGGTAGGGTTGCGTTCGCTAGAGGCACGTTGCGCGTGCCGAGAAGCGCGACGGCTGTGACTGAGGCCATCACGGTGACCCCGCCGCCGTTATCGCGCACGTCGAATATAACCTCCGTGCAATTGGTGCTGCGCGCGGGGGAGGCGCGGGGGACGGGTGTTGTTGGAGGAAAGTTGGGAGAAATTGGTTTTCAGGGAAGGAAGCATTGGTTGTTGGGCAAGCAGGGAGGACTAGCAAGGAGGGCAAGCAGGGAGGACTAGCAAGGAGGGCAAGCAGGGAGCGCACGCTTACCTCCTGGCAGCATACATGGCTTTGAAAATCTCCCCAATGAGGTATGCAAGGGGATCCAGGCCAGGCCTGGTGACTGCGAGCTTGCTTTGCGTGGTCCTGTCCACGGAGAACGTGTGCAGCACGATCACTGCCGTGCGGTTGCTCACCAGATACACCTGCGAGGGGAAGAGGGGTGTAGATGGGTGTCCAGGGGTGCAGAGGGGTTAAAGGGGTGTAGAGGGTTGCAAGCCAGGGCTGGTGACGGTCAGCTTACTCGCCGTGGTGCAGCACGATCACTGCTGTGCGGTTGCTGAACAAATACACGTGAGAGTGGTGCTGCGGTTAGGAGGGGTTGAGGGGCCGGCCAGGGGAGAGAGAGAGAGCTGGGAGGTTGAATGCGGTTCTTGATAGCGTTTCAGCACGAATTGTGACATCTGCATGCAGTCACGCGCGCACACAGTCACACCCGCACACAGTCACACGCGTACACAGTCACACGCGCACACAGTCACACGCGCACACAGTCACACGCGCACACAGTCACACGCGCACACAGTCACACGCGCACACAGTCACACGCGCACACATTCACACACGCACAGTCACACCCGCATACAGTCACACGCGCACAGTCACAACTGCACACAGCCACACGCGCATACAGTCACACGCGCATACCAGGTAGTAGGCATCGTCAGCAGACACCTTCTCCATGGTGATCGCTGCCCCATCCCCGCCAGCCAGTATCCTGGGTGCAACCTTGTCACTGCTCTGCACATCACTGCTTGACGGCCCTGCTTCTTCCTTGCGCTCCTGCTTCTCCTGTGGCTGCTGCTGCTGGCGCCTGTGGGGCTGCTGGTATTGCTGGTACTGGGGTCGCATTCTCAGCACATCAAGCTCTAACATAGGAGGCGGCGCCTCCTCGCTGCTGCTACCACTACCACTGCTGCCGCTGCTGCCGTTCCTTGCAGCGTTGCCTGGACAGCTGTCGCTGTGCTTGGCGCAGTTGAGGTTCCAGTAGGAGTGCGAGTCGTTGAAGGCTTTGAGCGCGAGACAGCTATCCATGGCACACTCACGTTCTCCGCTGCCCCCCTGTTGCATCCAGAGAGGGAAACCACCCGGACAAAACCCAAACAAAACAGTGACAGCAGAAGATGCCAATAGAACAACAGGGCATGAGAATTCAGTGGTACCAACCAGAAGTTAATGTTTACAGGGTTCATCAGGAAGTAAACAAAATTTGCCGTTTTGTGTGCATAAAGCTCACCCTCTGAAAACGGACACCTGAAGTTGTCACTCTCTAGAACCAGCTCCCTCACAACAAACTCCTCCGGGTGCTGCCTCAAGCTGGCCCTCCCCTCTGGCTGGAAGGAATCAGGGCTATGAGGGACCTACCCACAACACAACACAAGGCTCTCACTCACCCTCTCAGAATGGACACCTGCAGCGTGTCTCTCTCTGGAACCAGCTCCCGCACAACAAACTCCCCCGCGTGCTGTCCCAAGCTGGCGGCCCCTTCTGCGTCGAGCCCCGCAAACATCATGTTGAAGCGCGCACTGGGGTTGCGCACCATTCCGCCGTGCTTGTCCGCCCACTTCTTTATGTACTCCACTGCTGGCTGGCCCTCTATGGCTTGTACCTACGGGAGGGGAAGAGGGAGGGCGGTGAGGGAGGAGAGTTGTGCAGTTGCGCGGACCATGCCGCCATGCCACCAGCCGCCATGCCTGTCCGCATCTTTTGACGTTCAACACTGCCGGCAGGCCGTCTATGGTGAGCACCTGCAGCAGGGAACAGGGACGCTAGAGAGGGGGAAAGTTGCCAATGATGGTCTACACTGCCAGTTGAAGTGGTAGCGAAAGATTGATGGGAATGTCATGTTAGAAATTCAGTGGGGGGCACTCCCAGTCTCGGTGGACTTTGCACATGCACTGCTACTTCTTTGAACACTGCCCGACTGCCCGATATTGCAACCCATGGGTATTGTGGCTTTTCTCCTATTCAATGTACCCGTTTAGCGACAGTAGCGTACCTGTTGTAACTCGTAGGCGGAAAGATCGAAACCCCAGAGCTTCTTCGCGTCCTCCTCGATCCCTTTGAATAACGACAGGTCTGAAGGGACACGGCGCGATGAAACACGGCCACGGAAAAGCGTTACGTATACATTTTAGATGAAGCGTAAATTGAGAAACGAGTTCGTGTGAGCGCAAATGTGCGTGCGTACATGTGAGGGACTTTAGAATCGCGCGGCAGACTCACATCGGCGCGTGGCGACGCGAACGATCTGCTGGCCGTCCTCCACGACCGCGAAAAGCGGGAGCGGCAGGAGGAAGGTGACCATGCTGAAGAAGCATCTCGACTGAAACATCGTGTGGCCGTCGTTGAGACCGTTGATCGCGTTGAACGTGTCCACGTGGGCGTCCATCAGCCGTTCGTATTCGCCCCGCTCGGCGCGCTGCAGAATGGCCGTCAACTCCGCGACGATGTCGACGCTGCTGGGAAGGTTCGTCTGGTCGGGCGAGTCAACGGCTGTGTCTTTGTACACGTAGTGGTTGTTGACTCCGTTGACCACGGACCGAAGATCTTCCACGTCACTCTCTCTGCTCAAAGTCAACAGAAACGCTTGTTCAAATGGAGCTGGTTTTGTTTTTCCAGAGGGTCAATGCCACGGTATTTGCAATATCAAATTTCTGTTTAGTAGATGCGCTCGTTATACCTGATTTTAAAATTGCGCAAGCATTCGTGAACTGTAGAGGGTTTCGCAACGTTCAAGATCCCTGCATTCGTGGCGATTTCCTGACTCCACAGCGTGCACGGGTCCGCTGCACCGCTCTGCATCACGCTCGCTGCCTCTGGACCGCTTGTTCCCACTTCAGAGGCAGTAGCGGCTGAAGCTCCCGCTAGAGAAGCTTCGCTATCAGCACTGGCATGGGCTGCTGCGGGATTGCTTAGCACTCGAAGGGCGAAGGCAGGTTGGAAATGACTGAAGGACAGAATGACAGTGAGCAGGCCTACTACCCGCGCGATACGTGCATTTGAATCCACGGCTCGAATAGCAAGGGACGTTCTACCAGGTAGGAGGAGCTTATGATGCTCGTTGGTGAAGGCGATTTGGCGAGTGAATCAGCTTCGCTCTCGCCTTTGTACCTCCACAAGAACTGCTGCTGCTTGCTATGTCGTGCTTGTTTTGCTCAAACATTCCCAGATTATTGTTAGCGGGTTTGCACTCGGAGATAATTGCTGGCAGCAATACAGCCGACTTTTCAGTAATGCGCTCCGACGCTGAAAACAAGAAGCGCACTTCAAGGTGGTCTCCTTGTTCGGCTCTTTCGGAAAGAGTTACAAACGAAATAACATTGCTTCGCGGACCTCCTTGAGAAACAATTTAGATTGTTGCGAAAGCATCGTGGTTTCGTCACAGAGGGTTACAGCTCGTGAGTCATCTTGGCCCTCACTGGGTCGTAGCAGTGATAATTGTTTAGGGCATGTCGAGGAAGCCGATATAGTCAGCTAGTTTTAGCGGAACGAGCAAGTTCACGATGGAAATGTACCATATTCGACTCTCAAAGGCGTTCTTCGCCAGCACTTTTAACAACAAAAATGTCGGGATCAGGAAGGTCAGTCTCGGCTTCCTGATCCTGTCCGTCAGAGTTCGTTAGGGTCCGTCAGGCAGGTCAGCCCGCGAAATTCTTGCCGAGCCTATGATTCCGTCCGAACCAAACGGAATCATGCTGGCCTGTCGAACGCCCTCTTTTTCATTCATTTCGAATGGAATCGTGAGGGTGGGAAAGTGGTTTGGCAGCTTCCTCTACAGGCAAACGTAAATCCCGTCGCCATTCCATCGCCATTCACCCCACCTAGCAGAATCGTCTTGGGATGGCCATGGGATCGGAAGGGTGCAGAGGGTGGGAACGGGGAATTGGAAGGTGGGGAGGGTGGTTCCTGATCCCGTTGCCACCCTCCTCCTTTCTGGCACGAAATTTCGCGATTTGGCCACCTCTGCCACACCTATTCGAGAGGTTCCTCCTCTGGTTCCTGATCCCACGGCCATTCCGAGGCCTTTTTGAGGAGATTAACTCTACAACGGTGGGAGCTAGACTATGGGGTGGGCACGAGTTGTAGGAGTAATCAAAGCTCTGTCTGAGTTCTCTAGGACTTGTGTTTTCACAGGGTAAAACAGCAAGAGTTTCACTAAGGAAATTTGAGAATACAGAGTTTAGAAATGATAACAAGCAATGGCAAAGATGGACTATATCACATGCAAGGTTTGCCAGTGCTCAGGCAGGTCGACTGCCAGCGTGACAGAGTTGTCGACCTGCCAACGCAGCATCTCCACGGTCCGCCAACGCAGCTTGTGTGCGACTTGCCAACGCTGCAGTATGGCGGCCTGCCAACGCTGCATTCGCGCGGCTTGCCAACGCAGCATCCGCGCGGCTTGTCAACATTGCATCCGCAGGTGACTGTAAGCGCATGTGCAAGCACCTACTTCGCAGGTGCTTGTAGACAGTTATGCACGACGTGCACTGTCAAGTACATTGCGCAGGTTGTCAGCCACATGCTGACAGTTGCACATGATGAGCCACGTCGACCATGTGCTGCCACGTTGGTCGACTTCGCCACAACAGTCTCGACGACGTTCGCACACCTTCGCACACTCGTCGAGCAGGTAACTCGGTCAACCAGATGAAGTCCCTGACATCTCTGCAGGATGATGACCTTCGTCATCACCGGTTGACGACCTTTGTCATCGCGGGTTGACGACCTTCGTCGTCGTTGCTCGACGACCTTCGTCGTCGCTGCTCGACGACCTTCGTCGAGCACCTTCGTTGAGCACCTCGGTTGACATTTCAAAATGTCAGCTCCTGATTGGTCGAAATTAGGGCACATTCGAATTTCTGGCCAAAATTCGCCTGTGCAGTCTCAAGGTTGCGCAGGGTCAGATGCGACCCTGCGCAGACGAACACCCGCGAACTTCTGCACGAGCTGCGCAACTTGTACATGCGCACGGGAAGTCTGTGTTGCACTCGCAGATGCTTCATTTACTCTTGCATGGATTCCCTAGTACACCTCGTGTACAGGCAACCCTCGAACACCTGTAGAAGGTCGGCTGCACCTCCCGCACACCCGACCACAAAGTCAGTTTTGCCCATGCGAGGGCGGGGCCAATTTCCTTCAACACTCCCCTGCCGCGCTCACGCTTGGGCACCCTACGCACAAGGTCCACCCAGAACCCAAGGGATAGTATACACTGGGAAAATCCTTCGTCAGCGTGCACACAACACACAGCACGCCGGTCACCGCACCAGCCGTGCAGAAGGGCACGGCACCTACTGCTGCACATCGTCGTCACCATCGCCAATGTCAGCCAGACGAACTTGGCCGATCGCGACGGAGCACCGGTTGAAGGCCGGAGAGTGCCGCCCCTTCGTCAGGAAGTCAGCTGGCTGCTCAGAGGTGGGGATGTACTTCAACGCAATCTTCCCACGCTTCACCATCTGCTGCAGCCAAGCATAACGTCGCTCCATGTGCTTGAGGTTGCCCTTCAGCCCCAAGCCTTCCGCGACAGTGATGGCCGACTGGTTGTCCACACGAAGGACAGTCGGCGTCCCAGGGTCTAGCAGCTTGAACTCTGCAAGGAGGAAGCGAAGTCGACGAGCCTCCTTGCCAGCTTCCGTGGCCGCAACGTACTCCGACTCGGTCGAGGAGAGCGTCACACACTTGATGCGCTGGCTCGACCAGGAAACTGCGGCCCCTCCGAAGACGAATGCATAGCCACCCGTGCTCGTCCGGTTCTGCTTGTCTCCTGCATCGTCTGCGTCCACGTAGCCGACCAGGCACAGCGAACCTGGCCCACCGCCGAACTCCAAGGCAGTGTCACGGTGTCGGCGAGGTAGTGCAGACAACGGTCGACCTCGCGCCAGTGGTTATCACTCCGCACCGTCAGGCCGCTTCCCAGCTTGCTACACGCGAACGCGATGTCCGGCCTCGTCGTCGTCGCCGCGAACTGCAGCGAGCCAACCTTCTGCCTGTACTCTTCCTCCTCGCGCGCTTGAGCATCCTCGTCATCGAATGTCAGCTCCGCATAGGCGTCGACGGAGACCGGCGTCTTCGGGATGCGCCCGGTCTGCTCTTCGTCGATGAAACGCCTGCGGAGCTTGTCGACGTACGACTGCTGGTGCAGCCATAGCTTCCTTGCCGACCTGTCGCGAACGATTTCCAGCCCAAGGTACCTCTCGACCGGGCTGATCTCGCGAAGCTCAAAGGCAGCCTCCAGCAGCTCCTTCAGCTCCTTCAGCATCGCGAGGCTGCTGCTGGCAGCAAGCAGGTCGTCAACGTAGACAAGCACCCAGCACATCACTCCTCCGTCGCCGACCTTGAAGTAGAGAGCCTCGTCGACCTGGCTCTTCTTCCAGCCAGCGCCCAGCAGCACTCCGTCGAGGGCCCTGTACCACAGCAGGGGTGACTGCTTCAGTCCGTAGAGGCTTTTCAACAGCTTGCACACCCGGCCAGTTCCATCGTCATAGTAGTCCTGGCTGGTACATGTACAGCACCCTGTCAGCTTACTCTGCAGGAATGCATTCTTCATGTCAAGCGGCATCAGGTGCAAGTCGCGGACACCGACGATGCTGAGGAAGATCCTCAGCGTGACGTAGCTGCTGACCGGGCATACGTCTCTTCATAGTCGGCGCCGTCGTATACACCTGCGTGAAGCCCTTCACGACTAAACGTGCCTTCTCACGAGCGACCGTATCATCGATGTGATACTTCGTCGTCAGCACCCACCGGTTCCTCATAATGTTCACCCCGCGCGGACGTTCGACCAGCTCCCATGTGCCGATTGGCGATGAGGCTGCGAATCTCCTCGTCCATCGCCGCCTTCACCGCCTTGCCTTTCCAGCTCGCCAGAGCCTCCTATACTGTCATCGTTCGCGATTGTCCCAGCGATGCTCTGGGTCAGGCATGCACGTCAGGGTCGAGCTCGGGCAGGTCGACGTCGTCCTGCGCATCGTCGAGCAACGTGCTGTAGGGAGGTGGGGGGCAAGCAAGCATGGTAGCTCAGCTTCTCCGCGAGGCTTGCCAAATGTTGACACGAGTAGAACGTCGCAGTGGAGGCTCGTCAGCTTTTGACTTCCACCACATCAGCTGTCAGTGGACTGCTCCCCTGCAGACAGCTCCCCTTCGTCGTCATCAGGTTCACCAATGACCTCCACAAACGTCACTCGACGAACCATCGTCGAACTGCTCCCCTGTCGGCGGTGCCTCTGCAGACTCTTCCTTCGTCAATGGCTCCCCTGTCAGGCTGCATCTTTTCCACCCGCAGCTCCCCTGCCGTCGAAGGCTTCGCGCCTCTCGTCGACGAGTTTGACATCACGTCGGCCGCTGGCGATGCCCCTGGACGGCGCCGCAGGCAACGTCTGCAGGCTC